CTTTCAAATACATATCTAATTTAAATTGTTGCAGTAAGAACACGGCTCAGAAATAGGTATATGACCAACAGTATTTCAATGGCAACAGTAAGTGTCATAGTTTAAAAGGACACCTTATTACCTGAACCATTTGCTATGGTTATTATATGCCTTCTCCTATAAATGACTCATGTTGCGCACTTAACTCATTATTATAAACTACCAATTATAACATATATCAAGATGCTAATGCGCCTATTTCATGATATGTAACATTTCCTAAATTCTTTACATGGTTTATCTTTTGATAAATTTACTAATATAAATTAAATTAGTCGAAAATAAGCTTAGAAATTCGGACCTTGACAGTTTCAAGAATGCTTTTGTGGAAGAATCGGACGAACGAAATTCTATATTATTTTGCTTCGAGTAAAATAGAGCGAGTAAAATAGAAAATCCGTATAACTGCGTGGAAGGTAAAGCGAGGGTAACAAATGCGTCTATAAAACCCGTTTTAATTTTGATCAATTCAACATGGTAAATATGTTGCGAACCCACATGCCTTAAATTACCGTGGCCCAAACGCACAGCTATTGCTTCAAGTTATAAGTTATTTGTATTATGACAAGCAGGCATATTTATAAATGCTATGGTTTCCCGCATAATAAATTAAAATCAAATTTGACATAAATATCTTCGTGATTGGTATTAGTCATATGAAATCCTCTTGTTCTTTACAATGTTACCGGTAGTCAGCGAGAAGTGGACCAACTGAAAACAGGTTTACTGTACACTTGCTACACAAACTATGCAAATATATTTTGTCATTCTACCTGTTGCATAAAACCTTAGAGTAATTAGCAAACAGATAAACTGTGGTTTATCTGTATCACTGGCTATTATTTTGTTCCTGAAGTAGCTCTTCTAGGTAGTGAACAACGTTTTTGGTTAAACTAAACCGATCTCGGAATTCATCTTCGCTGTATTTCTCAAAATGATTATTCCGTGCTCGAAAATAGCGAATTATTTCACTATTAAGAATATCGAAAACCTTGTTAGATGAGTCCGAAAAATCCGGCAAATTTTGCTCCCAAAAATGTTATTATTGTTTTCCCAAAACGTGTTCTCTGTTCGCAGCTGATTTTGTATGTCTATTGACACTAGTAGCAAATACGCTTGCGTGCGCTGCTCCTACAACTCATAGAACCGGTAAAGGTCCCAGAGCGACCGTTTATCGGTTCTTCAATGTAACGAACCGCTAGCTCTTATCGAACGTTTCAGAAACCCATTTCAAAACCGGGCATTAGTATTCCACAGATTTTTAACTTAATGGAATAACTAAGTGAAAGGAATCATTGATCTAAATATCAATAAAAATTCTTCTACTAGATGGAGCCATTTTCCTGCTGGACCTGTGAGTGCATTCATGCTGACAAATATATGGAACGTATGTGTTTATGAACAGTGTGTAAATGGCTTAAATGTGCAAAATTGCAGGTTCTTGCAATATTTGTTATACATAACTCTATAAAAACATTTTTTATCTTGCGCCAGAAATCAAATGTCAGTTGACAAGAAAACCGTTCAATAACAACATATGCTCCACCTCGGGGCAAGATCTAACATTAACTGGGGCTTTCGCCATTGGAATCTGGAATAATCGCTAGTTGCGTATCAAACATAGTCGCCAATTGTAAGCGTTTTTTAGTCGGTGGCAAACAGTATCGATCCCAGAGGAATATGCAATAAATGAACATGACGTCTAGATGGAGCAGTATTGAGTGAAACGCGAGATAATTCGTTTCGTAAAAATCTGCAGAAAGTTAGAAATTTGGTTAAAACTTTTATCTACAACTGTTATATAAGGACTATAATTTGGCACTCTTTCCAATGTCATAATAATGTTTATTACCGCACTAGTGCTTTTTAAAGTTTTTACCGCACTACTGCGGTAATAAATATGTCGATCACTGTCAAAGTTGTGTCTTAAAATTGCACATTTTAAAATAAGTTCAAGCGATGATCTGCCATCTGATATTGAGAACCATGCTTTTAGTTTTGTTTGAGTCAATAAATACCAGAGAAGCTCTGATTGGTACCAGAAATGGTGCAGTGAACGAAAGATATACACAACGAACATCGAAAGCCAAAGGGTTGAGGGTTTATGTATTTTGCTTACTTTGTTAAAATATACGAAAATCTTTTCTCGCTTGTTAAGATAAGTATCTTTCGTTAGGGTTCTTCCGTGGTTTCCCTGGCACAAGATCCGAAACAACATTAAAGGTTTAGTTCTCAATATCACTTGGCAGATCATCGCTTGAACTCACTATAAAACGTGTAAATTTAAATCACAACTTTGTATACAACTGTATTCAATTTATTAACTAATTATTTTTACTCAAATAATCATTAAAATAATAATCGTTATAGTTGTAGATAAAAGATTGTAAAATATTTTACGAAACCCGTAGAATATTATATTACTAACGCACTTATGTGATTAGACGACTCTGCCTAAAGCCTCGCCGTGCAAATCTCCACATACGAGCGTTAATCATATTCATATCCTACTGGTTACGTAATAGTATATTACATAATTAGAGGTGTAAGTAGCACTTTACGTACGAACGCGAGTGTGTAATTCCATGAGTAGGTAAATCCGTTACAACTCGAATTATATACCATACTTTACCTACGACCACTACTGAAATTAGTATAAAACACACTACCTACCATCTAGACAAATAAGTTCCATTTTACGCATTGTAAACCAAATGCACGGTAATGAAACTCACAGTTCTGTCACAATTCATCACAATATAAACCTTGTATCTTGTATTAAAAAATACTTATCCCACTGAAAAGTGATTCTGATGGTGTAAAAGCAAGAAGTCCCATATTATTTTGTCCGCAAACAACTTTTTTTTTTTCACTTTGATTTAATTTTTCACGGAAATTTCACGTAGATGTTTGTTGTTCATCCATTTTTCAAAAAAGTTTAGGATTTTCACAAATTTAAAGGGCTCTTCTGAGATTTACTGCGTGCTATTTCCAAGAAGCAAAAGTCTACAGAAGTTCTCATTTCTTTACTTAATTAAAAAAATGTTGGCTGCCATTATAACAGAGTTTCACATCAATTTTCGTCAAATTTTTAGAGACTTTTCAACTATAAGTGTCTTACGGCCGTTTATAGGCTTGCTTCAAACCCGTTCTATTCAAAGCTCAAAAATCAACATAATTTCACTTTTCCATCCTATAAAAACACATAATTATTTGCACTGTAGTTCAGCAAATGTTGCTTTTGATGCCATGTCAAACAGATTTTTTTCGAAATTTTTATGAGTTCTTGATTTACAAGGTCGTTAATTCCAAAAAGCTAAAATCTACAAAATTTTTCCTCATGTAACTAAATGCAAAAAACGTACTCTGCAATTGAACAAACGTAGTTGTTTGAAACAAAGTGTTTAATATTTTTTTCTACTTTTCCATCTTTAAACGGTCTGCGGGTTGCAAACTTTGCTTCAAAGTTGGGCCCTTTCAAAGCGCAAAAATGCATAGAATTTTTCTTTTATTTTTGCTCAAAACGGAAAATTTTGGCTCTATACGGTTCCTATGCAAACTAAGGAAAATCATTACGGAGCACAAGTAAAGTAGCATTCCAAAGTTCGACCTTTTGATACCACTTTTATATATCACCCCAGAAATTTTGAATCACCCTGTATAAGTCTCTGTTTTTTTTGCTTATATTTTGTTCGTTTCGATCGTGTTCGGTTATAACAATATTACCATTTTTTATATAATTTCATTAACATATTACTTTCCTGGCTAAGCCTTTGCGTGTGAATTTCTAGAATAAAAATTAGTTTATGCAACACTTGGTTCCGATGAAAGCAAGCCGCTCTAGTTACAGAAGGTCAAGGAAAGCACATCGCAACGGCGCATCTGTGAGGAAGCAACAGGCGTGTTTGAGGAGGATCGATATCGGCTTGGCCGAGGACGATAAATTGAGGGTGGAAGCTAGGGCTGTTTTACGGAAGTAGCCTAGTTTGCACACTAAATGGGTTACATTTTTAGATAAATAAGATCATATTGACAAGATATGCAAATTAAACTTTGCTAGCCACAAATAGTGGTAGTGGCTTTATGCCTAAATTGGTCTGGGTAACATGTGTATTCAAGTTAAAATAGAAACGTAACTTTTGATGATTTGCTTATTCATACTTAGCCATTGAATGAGACATTTTGTAATTGCCGAGCCGATGTAGCAGATATGTACCAGCATTGTTGTCTTCTAATAGTTATTTTGGAATTTGGCAATCCTTTTATATTGAATTATGGGAATGGTATAATGGCGAATAAGCTGTTTATCCCCCATTCAAGATCATCTTTATTTAATGGGTGCTTAGCGGTTTAATAGCGTTACATAACGCTCTCTTCACTTCAGAGCCTGATGTTTTGTTCAGGAGACAAAGCCGGGCTGTATAGATGCTTTACACAAATATTTTGAAATATTAGTCGTATGCGAAATATACTTACCAAGGAATATAAATGTTTTTTAAATCTAGAATGAAGTAAAAAGAAATTGAGCAATTAAATGGTAGTTATATCGCGTACAAAGTCGATCAACATAAATTTGAAATGTTTCTGTTTATTTAACTGGTGGAGATATTACTTAATCTAAATTAATTACTTAATAATAGATTAACTATATAAAATATTTGTCTTCAATAAATATGACAAAAAAAGGTGTACTAATTCTGGGAAAACATGCTCCATATATTGTATTAAAAAACAATTACTGACAATTGTGATCGAACAGAAAGTGTAAGTCATATATAAAAAAATTATGACCTTATGTTTGATGTAAGTATTTCTATATCATGCAGTTTTTATCCAAGTTATTTGTGTTAAGAGATTTTCATTAATAAATAATACAAATTAAGTTAAGTTTGAATTATGATGCTTAAAAAAATTAATGACGGTAAAAACTGCAAGTAGATTGTAACCTGTTACTTGTCTATTCCTGAATGGTCCAAAATGGCATCTGTCATTGATGGATTTTCCCATTTTCGAAATCACAGATGCTATCAATCTAAACTAAAATTTAAGTTGTTATAGGTGTACAATGCTATTCAAAATTAAAGCACTCTTAAGGTGATTACTTAGAAGATATCAAGCAATGCGATGAAGTAGCAATGGTGGCATTTTATGAAGGTATTTACGCTTGACGATGTAATCTCAAATTTGCGCTAAACAGATATTTTAATTAGTTTTAAGCAGGTCAATGATAATATCCCAGGGTATTAAAAACAATATATCTCCCAATATAAAATTCATATCATGTTCAGGTAGAGCGCCTATTTGACTCTCCAGGGTGTCATAGAACTCGTCTTTCACTGATTCATCTTTGTCTTCTGTTGGTGCATGTACAGACAGTAAGGAGTAGTTACAAAATGTTCCTTTCATCCTTAGGTAGCATAATCGTTCACTAAAGGGTTCAAATTTTATGACTGAGCCCAGCAAGTTTTTCTTAATTGCAAAGCCGGTGCCGTACTGATGCACGTTCTGGTTGTTGCCGCTATAAAAGATAACTGAGTTTTATATATTCAGATTTCCTGAGCCAGGCCATTTTATTTCCTGTAGTGCAGTGACAGCCATTTTCAGTCGCTCAATTTCTTTAACTGTCCTGAGCGCTGCACCCGTGCTGCACCAGCTAAGTACATTCCATGTTTCCATATTCAATACTCCTTTTCCTTGCTTGGGCCGTCTCCGTATATCTATCCTGATCCGAGGCTTGTTAAAAAAAAATATTTATCTACATATGTCGGTTTATTAGCAGAAGAAAACAATACGATTTCGTACATAGATAAACAATTGAAACTTAATTTTCAAATGCTATCTAAAAGCAAGTTTTACCAAACTCAAAATTTAATGTTTAGAAATGATAAAACCCTTAGGTGGACCCGCTTAAATTGCTATCTTTACCTGCGCGCTAAATACGCCACACACATCCAGAGGGATCATTGCAACATTGAATCAGCCTTTCGAATATTTTCCATTATAAGACTCGTAAAGTTTGGTAGTTATTTTGCAATTATCGTGAAGAAGTATAACCTAAAATTGCGTAGTTTGGACGCGCAAAAATTACAGAAATTATGAACTCGCTAATTGCATAAAGCATTGATAAAGGTTTCTTGTTATAAATTTACAAAAATCCGTTTTAAGGAATTATCCGTTTTTGAATGATCTAGAAGAAGGTCTGTATGAAGAAACTTGAGGGCAGCATCGTGAAAAAGTAATTTCCTTTTTAACGTACCATCTTTTTAATAGCAAACAATCTTCATAAATTACTACCACAACGAAAATGCTATAACTTTGTATTTTATTTATTTTCTTTTCAACTTTTAGACGATTTTTGTTTTATCTGTTTATCACCTCAAACGAATTTTATCATATTTTACTTTATATATTTTACTTTATACTTTATATATTTTACTTGCATTGTGATGGACATATTGGTTAGGGGCTTTTTAATTGACTTTCGTTGAATTTGGTGTTGACGTTCCAATTGATAACTTTCAGGAATTTTAGTCTGAATTCACATTTTTGTTTAATTGTACAATTAATAAATTCAAAGTGTTACACAAATAACCTAATAATTCCAACATTCCACATCAGCAACAATCGAGTTTTTCAAAATAAGGTTAAATTATCTTTCTAACGATCTCGTGAGAAAAATGTATATTAGTTCAAAAATTTAGAGGCATGCTTGTAGTTCACTGTTGCGGAATTTTCACGCTGTAGATACTGCTGTTTTATGCATTTGAGTACAATCCCAAATTAGAAAAATATGCATATTACGTAGCTTGAATAGTTGAAATATACAAGTCATTTCAAAATTTGGGCAATAGCCACGTAGTTGAATTAAACCTAGATCTTCAAGATTAAGTTACGGCAAAATTGAGCAACTTTTAATTGATGACAATATTTCGATCACGAACATTTCAAAATTTGCTCTTGAAGCATTTAAAATTTGCATATAATTAGAATATTCCAAAGCGCATCACGCTGATTTTAATTGGTACCCCGAATTAGAACAAATTAAAATTCAAAAGCTCCATTCATTTAGCATTCCGAGTTACTCTACTAGGCCGTCGTATTTCTAAGAGCAGGCAGTGATTTAACTTCATTAATTTTTAGATTGCCGCAAACAGAAGAATAAGAAAACCATTAATCTTCCCCATGAATCCTTTATTCAGAACGCAGATTTGAAATTTCATTAGTTCGGATTTTAAATTGCAGATGCAAATTTGTTTATGCGATACGAAATATGAAAGGATTGAGTGAACCTTAAAACTGCAGTAACAAAAAATATAATTAGATTATATTCAGATTAAATTCGGCCATTCAATTCAGATTAAACTGCTGAAATTACCTGCTTCAGTAGGACCATACATTCTTCTTATTCCTACAATTGCAAATATGCGAACCTTACAATTTAGTCAATTTATGAGCTACAGAGGAAACACCAGGCGAGTTCCAAAACTTTATGTGTAATCCCGGAATATGTGGGCATGCTCCCAGATTTGAACAGGGGACGTTAAAAAAACATAACAAGTTTCATTACGAAAATTCTAGTTGTTGCCCCTACGGAGATACGGGTCTCTAAAGAAGCTCCCTGAGAATCCATTTTTTTAATAACTTTTAGAATACTTCATGCACCTCAATGATTTTTTCATACGATGAATAATAATCATTGCTCTTTAACCGGACCCATCAAAACATTTTTAGCATTTCGGTTTGCCATGGATGGACTAGGTGGAGCACAATAACAGTTAATTTTTTTACCCTACAATGTAGACACGAAAATAATGTAATTAGGTAGATTTAAACTTAAACTAAAAATAGACACACTTGATTCATATCGATAAATAGGAAGGTTTTCGAAGAAAAATATTTTTAATGAATACGGATTTATTGAACAATTTTGTATGTAGGTTCACCGTGAGCTCCTTCCAATCTTATGCACTCCTTAACTCAAAGAATTGTTGATTGTTGGAATGGAATGGAAACAAATGCTTTCTAATAAGTTTTCCTTAGTGTCGACAGGATCGGCATACATTAAAGTTTTTAAATATAAAAAAAAATCTAAAGGGTTGAAATCTGGCGATCCAGGAGGCCAAGCCGCGGGTCATCCTCTTTCGATCCAACTTTGTCCGAATTCTTTGTTTATGTGTTCTCGAACTGCCAGGCTGAAATGGGGTAGTGTCCCATCATGCATGAACCACATCGCCTGTCGTATTGCCAAAAGTAATTCTTCTAAACGTTCTTGCAAGTTGTTTTGGAGAAATTGCAAATAAAGTGCCCCTGTCAACCAACTAGGCAATACGTATGGTCCTATTAAATGTTGTCCGATGATTCCAGCTCATACATGAATATGTTGAAACTGGTGTTGATGGTGAGTCACAATAAATGCATGCGGATTTTCGTCTGTCCATAAATGCAAGCATAAATCCTTCGTGGAAGGTTTTCAGGAAGAAGTGCATGCACTTTTTCTGGGTGATAAGGATGCAATTGCTGTTTCCTAACGATCCTAAAAACTGTAGAATTTGGACAATGAAACCGGGCACTTTATTTCCGAACGCTTATTGAGGGATCTGCGTCTACCGCATTTAAAATATCTTCTTCAACAACCGCATTTCGATTCACTTGGTTTAAACAATTGTGTTTGCCTTGATGGTATTATATCACCTGCTAAGTCGGTAAATTTACGTTTTCGGAATATGCTAACATTCACTAAAATAATAAGATAATAATAATAATAATAAATACAATAAATAACAAGAAACACAGCCCACCAATGCATGTATTAAAATCCGTATTCCATAAAAATATTTTTTTCTCGAAAACCCTTCTGTTCATCGATGTGAATCAACAGTGTCGTTTTTTAGTTAACGGTTAAAAGTACCTAAATACATTATTGCCATGTCTTCATTTTAAAGGGTAAAAAAACACAAAGCGAAACTATAAAAATGTTTTGATGGGTGTTTTTAAGAGCATTGATGTACTCTTCATTGTATGAAAAAATAATTAAATTACATGAAGTATTCTAAAAGTTATTGAAAAAAATCGATTTTTAGTTGGCTCCTTTAGAGGCCTGTATCTCCATAGGGGGGTCCACTGGAAATTTGTCTTATAGAAACTTGTTATGTCTTTCAAAGCCCCTTGTACAAATCCGAGAGCATGCCCACATATTCCGAGGCACCCTGAATAGGGCGACCTAAAAGGAATCGGAAAAGCTCAAACATCTGTTAATTTATTTATGAAATAAAAGGAACTCTGCAACAGTCCTCTAGCAAAGCAAAAGGCGAATGAACCCTTTCCTGCTTTATGTGTTACTTCGGCTTCAGAAAATTGACATTTGAACCCGAACACTTTAAAATAGAAACACATGACTCTCCAAACACACATTTATACGAGTTCACAGCCATACGTTTTCCCGAGTGTCTTTATTTCCTGAAAGAGTATTCCTAGCGGGCATCATGTCCCCTTTATCTTGCTTTTGCCTTCCTACCTGTAATATGTCTATATTTTTCGGCAAGTGGGTTATGTTATTTGGAAGCTGTGGTGCCAAAACTTAATTACAAAAATTTCTCTGGCTCCATAACAAGCCATTAGCTGATAGACGCATAAAAAACAGACATGCTAGTCAACGGAAACGATAATCCAGGTAAATGGAAATAATTTATGAACTTCGTATTCCTAATTATTAGTCACGATAGACCAGAATAGCCATTGACGTAAGCAAGAAAATTAAAAAAAAAATTTATTGCATTGCTGGGTGTTTGATTTTAGTGAGCAAAGATAACATGATAAAGGATAATAACTATATCAAATGAATTGTGACTCAAATTATGGTGGATTTGGTGAAATAAACCTTGTCAATTAGTCAAGAAGCGCATATTAAGTTCCTTCAATCAATTAAATTACGCAACTGATGCATTGCAATTTTGTCGTTCCAAGGACTTTCAACAAAATAATATCTGCTGCAGGGCGAAGGCACTCCCGTGAATAATAAGTGGATGATTAAGAACCAAAGCGTTCAAACTTAAAGCTTATTTTTGTGCCAGTCTTATTTATATTAGTATCGAATACACTAAAAGTGGGGACAAAAATAAATTTAGAAAATTACTAATAGTATCTCAGGATTCCTGAGCTTGACTATTCATAGGCAGAGCAGCTTAACTAGGAAACTGGTTAAGCCAGTAATCAGTAACGTAAAAGTATGCCCATCGAAAATCAAATCATTTAATAAACCACATTTTTATGCCCCTTTAAATGGATCTGTTTATGGCTCACTTTCTGATTACAGTTTGAAGTTGCAGATATAATTTGATATTTCTCCACAAAAGGTAATAACAGGAAAAAAAGTAATTTAACATATGGGAAAAAATGTCATGAATATATCATAAAAATGTCATGAGTCGTGAATTTCAATTGGCGATTTATATATTTCCAGCTCCGATAGAAAATTGCTATATTTATGTAAAGCGACTATTGAAATCAGATTTGCTGTCAAAACACCTAGGTACAGGAACATTAGTTGAATCTTTTAAGGTTTTCAGACATTAATAATTTATTAATGAAATAATTGATTATATCCTTAGAAAATCTGGAATTTTTCTAAGAGGAAAACCCTGTTGATTAAAGAAGGAAGATCGAGAAAACATATCTCTTATGTGAATATGATAAAATTATTTCAACATTTGTTATTTATAACTTTTTTATTTCCTGGGTTTCAGCCAAAATGTAAAATAAAAAAATTTTTAGTTATCGGTAACATCAAGTCACCCAGCTCTTTTGGCATCAGATAACATAAAATAGAATTTTAGTAACTTTAACTTTTCTAGTTTCAACATAAATGTTGGTTTTGGGCGGTTTTGATTAATTTCGGTAACTTCGGTAAGAGATCTTCATATATTAATAAAAAAAGTCGTAACTGATGCACAGCGTTATTTATTGAAGTTTGACCATCATGTTTTAACATCTAGTTACAAGTTTAGAGAAAAAGTTTCCTACAAAAGTTGTAGATATTAATGTCTTGTTTATTTTAAGATGCTACTGCTAATTGATGCAGGGTGTCTCAAATTCAAATGACGGACCAAACTTTACATTTTTATGCCGTACTTTTTCTTGCATATTCCAGATGGTATATTTTTATGTATATTTGACAATATCCAATCCAAACTTAACCTTAGTTTTTGACACTCAAGATCGATTTCCAAGTTTAACTCGAATTTTCAAGATTAACCTTTTATCCTGTTGCAATCGATTTCTATTAATTTTAAAGCTTTATTATCCCTGTATTAACCTATCTCATCGCCAGCTCATTGGAATCATTCATACAATTTTTGAAAATTTCTGTTTACATAAAAGCATGGACAAGTCGAAAATTCTAGAACATTTTTTCGATTCATTGGTCTGACTAAATTCGGAAACTTACTATTACTACTACTACTAACTATTAGAACATTCCAAAATCATTAACCACATATCTCAGCCATGTTTCGGTATAACTAGAATCCATTCATCATCATTTTCTGATTTTTGGGAAGCATTCTAGTTGATCGGTACCACTATTTACCGATGACATAGAGTCAAATGGAGTTTTTTCGCTTCCACGGTGCGGTTTGGGTACGATTCCACATCGAGTGGAATCGTACCTATTGCTTTCAATACTAATTGGCATTAATTTCAACCAATTCTAATGTCATTTGACAATTTCTTCTTCCATAAGGGTCTGCGCAAACCTTTTCGTCTTCCCCCTATAACTCACTAAGGAATTGTTTTTTTGAACCAACAAAGTTGGTTTGTCTGGTAACTTACATATAAATTTTTAATTTTATTATTTTTCTTGAAAGCGTAGCTTTCTATCGGAAAGAGTTATTCTTTATAAAATCTCGGGCTGATCAAACACTATTTCAACTTTCTAGCTTTTATAGTTTTCGAGAAAATCGCGAAAATATGGTTAAAAAAAACTGCAAATATCTCGGTGACCAATAGAGCGGAGCTGCATCTAATCAGTCCAGTAGATCGGTCGCTGCAGCTCAATTAAAACTCTTTTTTTTTATTTCGGAAATTTTCCCCAATTTTTTGAACGAAAATTTAGGCCAAATGTTGACATATAATTCTTTACTTCTCATAGCAGATCTTTACTGGTCCATATCAATCCATACACTTGAAAATTTATTTTTTAATCCTCGTGCGCACCATGAGGACTCGTTCAGAGGCCGTTTTATACAAAAATCTTCGGCTGGATTGTCTGCACCCGTTAATGGAGAGTTCGTTAAGTTTAATCAATAGTTCAATCAAATCAATGGTTATTAACCCAAAAACAGTTTAAAATCAACATGGAAGATTTATATCGAATACGCCTAGAATTTTACTAAAAC